TGACAGGTGTGATGAGGTGTGGACAGTGATGACTGAGGTGTGGACAGTGATGACTGAGGTGATGAGGTGTGGACAGTGATGACTGAGGTGTGGACAGTGATGACTGAGGTGTGATGAGGTGTGGACAGTCATGACAGATAAATGTGATTGTTTTATTGATCACACTGTATTTGATATCTTGATGTCAAATAATCAGATGATATATTGATATGTTGGTATTTGATATAATTTGATATTGTATTTCATATCTTTATTTTTATTCCATCTCCCTCTCTTGTATCTTTCAGATGACCTCCGCAGACTGTAGACAATCGACTGAAGCTCCTTACCTGTGTCGGGTCCTGCTCTGTCTTTAGAAAGATGGTGTCATGGTCTCTGTGCTCCTTTACTCTACACAGAGTGCAGATGTCTGTACAGTCAGTCCTACAGAACAGCTCCAGAGCCCTGTGGTGCTGCTGACACATTCTGGGCTCCTGGGCTCCAGTTGTGTCCATCAGTCTGTGTCTCTGCAGGACTGGGACAGTGTAGTGCTGTCTGATGTGTGTCTCACAGTAGGAGGCAGCGCAGGTCAGACAGTGTTTCACAGCTCTGAGCTTCTTCTCCAGACAGAAATCACAGGTCATTGCTGGCTCACTGCAGACACACAGAGAGAACAGGGAGAGTCTCAATCACAGTGTCCAGTGACCAGACTGGACAGCCCCAGTGTGTACAGTGAGGAGTTACTAAACTGAACAGAAGCAGAAACATATTTCTATGTCATATTTTATTTATAAAGGTCAATAATTCTCCACTACTGCAATCTGCTTTACGATGGAGAAGTGAAAGTTTTCCAACAGCATGAAGTTCACATTCTTCTGCTTTTCAATAAGAATAACGTGCAAAGAATTTACAGAAGGGCTGTCTGAGAGACAAATGCCGAAGTCACAGGGAACGTCTGACACAAGAGAAACAGAAAATCCACGATCGGGGGCCCAGCTCTGCTTAGTGTTTGCCGGCTGTGAAAGTGATCTCCTCACCTTGCTCCAGCAGTGGAGGAATCGTCTCGGAAATTCACTAGCTTTTTCCCAGACTGGTCACTCTGCATAGACACACAGCTGGGCACTGGAGACACTGGCCTCTCCAGCTGGAGTCTGTGACAAGACAGAAATCTTGTTGCAACTCAGACAACCCTGAGCTAGGGATGAATATTACTGACCACTGTCTGCATCAAGACTGAATTCCTCAGCAGTGTTTAAACTAGTGAATTTACTGCATATAAGAGCATAAGAAACTCCACAGAGCCATTTGAACCACCTGGTCTCACTGGTAGCTAATAGACCCCAGGATTCACCCAGCTGTGTCTGGAGAGAAGCCAGGGTATCAGCTTGTTCCCCTCTCCCACCCCTCTCTGTGTACAGTAGAGCCCCCTGTCCTGACTGGAGGAGCTCACCCAGCTGTGTCTGGAGAGAAGCCAGGGTATCAGCTTGTTC